TCTATGTGCAAATCGGCGGTTTCGTTGCTACCCTTCTGGAAGACCCCATGCACGTTCGGCCTCCCCTGGTTCCTCGAGCCATGGGGTTACTGCAGACCCCCAGGACGATTACTCTTCCGCGAATGGATTAATCAATTTTAACGCCGACCAGAAGGGACGGTGCAGAAGACCTGGGAAGATGCCTCCTCTCCGTGTCTCCTCGGTACTCCGTAATTCGATCTCAGTTGCTCCGCTCAGTTAGCAATTACGTCCCCTGATTTACTAATTCACGTCCACCGAACATATTTCCTTAACGACGATAGATACCTATGTCCTGGTTATCATATCTACCATACATGTTACACGTACGGGGTAACAATAATTCGATATTAACTTCAGGGTGTCTTTTGAATAATTTTCGTTGCTTAACACGTTATTTCGGTGTTACGTTACAATAATCAAAGGAACACTTGGTAGGAGGGAACGGCCGTCAAATGAGGAGGGACAGGCTTACCCCTTTTCCTTTTTCCGCCCTTTAATCCTCCTTTTTACTCGTTTCCGGAAATTCTCCTGCGTGCCGAGGATCCCGCTGCGATTCTACGGGGGTCGCTAATGTAATCGAAAGAGGGCTGGGCTCGCATTGATATAATCGACCTAATTGATTCCCACGAGACGACTTGAGATTTACGAAGCCCTGACTTTCCCGGTTTATTTTTCTTATCCTTTTTCGGATTAACCTCAAATCGAGCCTCGTCGATCCGGCCCCGTTATTAATTAATATTCCAGGGCCCGGCTGGATGTCGCGATCATCCGGGGATATAATTAATTCGGGAGTGGGACTGATAAGGGGAACACGGAATTGGCGCCAGAAAGGGAAGAGAAAATCGAGCGTCTCGCTGCACAAAAGCTTCGCCGGGAACAACTCGCTCGTTAATTAAACCAGATTATAGGTCAACGATGTAAATGCACTCGTATATTTCCGGAATTGCGGCTCGTTATTAGCGCCGATGCACTTCGAGGGCCGATCCAGAAATACGGAGCCGATACATCGGCTTTTGGCCTCGGAAAACGAGCAAATCTGGTCTTCGTAAACCATTGGCATCGAGATAACGAGCTACGCGGGGGGTGACACCTCTGGGGAAAAGAATTGCACGAGACGAAGCTCCGGATTAAAATGTGGAGGCACCCCAACTTTCCGTTTAAGGTTTCCCTCTTGAAGTCACGCATGCCGTGAAAAAGAAGCAGAAATTCCCAGCCGGCATTTTGGAGCATCCGAACATTTATCGTCTTAATTTGTCATCTTAAATCCTCGGTTAAGGTGACGTGAAACCTCCCTCAAATCAGTCGATTCGAATATGACACTCTTTTCTAAGGGCATTGGACAGAAATTTCCGAAACACGACTCGTGAGCACCTAAGAATTGTTCTGCACTTTCAAAATGTGGTTTCTTCAAAGAAATCTTTTAACTTGGTCAGAGCCAAAATGGCCTCGAACTCTCATATTTCGATCGATATTCAATTATTGAACGCTCTAATGTGATGAAATAAAATCACGAATGGCGCAGGGGGTCCCTCTGCATTCAATTAGGGCCTCAGAAACCATGAATCCAGGGGAATTCTGGAGTTTTATTTCGATGTCTTTACAATTATTGTACGAAAACGACAAGTGGAGTATGCCATTTAGTACAATGCCCGACATAATTCGACACAGCTATCAGTATAAAAACGAACGCCGGGAACGTAGATATTTAGAAGAAACATCTTTACCAACGTCGACATGCTTAAGCATGACATAAAACCTGGAGGGAAGTATTCGAGCACCTTTTAATTCTCTTCTAAACTCACCTTGGGCAAAACGCGTTTCATAAACCCCCTCAGACCGTAATTACTATTGGAGGGTATTGTCAGGCTTTTCGGAGTGCCACTCGAAATGCCGATTCATCTTTTTCTTCTTAATGGTCGGCTGGTTTTTTTCTTTCATTATCATCGAGTACCATAAATTCAACCACTCGAGGTACTTGGTACAGATTCGTACTTGCAGAAGTCCCAGGTGGAGGCGACTCGCGCTTCTTCAGGGGAGGCTGCTTTGCATGGACTTTTCAGCCACCGAGGAACCAAAGGGCACATTCAGGCGGATCGTAATATGAGATTGTAAAGCCGATCTTCCCTCTCCCTCTTTCTCCTCTTCGGGTTGGCCTTTTCTTCAGGGTCCCTTTAGCCCACTCTGTTCTCCACTGAATGGCGACGGTTCCCTCTTCTGGCGCGGCGCGGTGGATGCGACCAAGAATCCGCAGCATCCCTGGTCCACGGGACCTTCCTTTCTTCGCATCTCTCTTTCTCTCTGTCTTTCCCCTCTCTTTCTCTCCAGGGTAATCGAGAAGTGCCCGGGGAGCGGCTCTTTAAAATCGCTTGCCCCGTTCCTTGTCCCTTCCTCATCCACGGGGAAGTTTCTTTGCCGCGCAACTTTGGCAGGTATAATGCGACCACCTAGAATGCGACTCGGTCAGAAACATGCCGATACTTTGGCACGATGGAAATCGTTTTCACGATGAGACGATTTTCTTACTCGGCTTCTTAAGAACTCTCCTCTTTCCTTGGAGTTGCCTTTTGCCCTTCTTCGATATCGAGGAAGCCACTGACTCAGCTTTCGGATTTTGCCTTTCGCGACTCACCTCTCTCTGCGAGCCTAATTACAAAGGACAATCAGTACACGTGTATATGTTGTTACATATGTCAGCGGGCAGTTTTGTAAATACTCGGGAATTTATTTATTTACGACAGAACGAAACGTGTATTAATTGTTAACGTATCCTCCGGTACTGCCGATCCTTTCTTGTCACGTTTCAGGTCGTGCAATTGTCTCTGCGGGAAATTCCCTGTATTTAAGAATTTGTCCGGGAATTTCTTATTGTTTGTAAATGTTTAATGAAATGGAGTGGTATTACTTCCGGGATATCGAGAGCCGGAACCCAATCGTGCGCCATTGTTAAGCGAGAATCGAAATCGGTCAATCGTGTGACGCAGTTAGAGCGAGACGTGGAGAGGCTGTAACGAGGTCGAGTTCCTCGACTTCCGGCTCTCTCTTTCTCTCCCTCGTGGAAATCAGAGATCAAGGTTGGACCGGGAGATGAAACTGCGAAAACGTTGCGATGACCGTGCAAAGATCCGACGAGGAGAAAGCAAACGAGTTTTATAAGAGAGAAGGGGCGAATATGACGATGAAACGAAAACATGAAACGAACGTCCACGACTTGGTAGATAAGTTGTCGAGGACGTCACAATTTCCGCCGCAATTCAAATAATTCCCACATCCCTCGAGTCGTCCTCCTAAGATCGATTCGCAATGCCTTCGACCTTATTTTTCATAATTTTTTCCGCTGGAAAAAAAAAGACACGCGTTAATGGCTCGATTACGCATCGACGAGAAACGAAAAGAGAGAAAAGGCGGATTAATCTAGGAGGAAGTCGGTGGAAGGAAATTCGATTTGTCGCGGTTAAAGCGAGTGCCGAAAAATCAGGAGACTCTCGGCTTTCCGTTTGTCGAGCACTCGAGCTGGTCCGCACTTATCAGCGGTTGATAAGAGGCCTTTCGAGTCTCCCTTTTCTAACAGATTCCACGGAACGGTGGAACTTCCTCTGGATGGGAAAACCAGAGATACCTTGACAGAGCCGTGAAGGATTTTTGGAAATGGGATTTTTCCCCAGAACTTTGGAACTCCTTGAGAGTGCGATTTCGTTGGTTTCTCGACCATTTTTTCAGATAGGACTTTTTTGCGGGGTATTGGAGCTTTTTCTTTTGCAACTTCTCAAGGTGCAACTTCTTCGCAGGGCTTTGAAGACGCGTCTCGAGATGCAACTTCTTCCCGGGAGCTTTCAAACCCCTTTTTGCCGACGCAACTTTTGACCAGGGTTCATCGGTCCGGGGGTTGCTCTTCTCTATTTCCCTCTACGCACGAAAGAGTCAACCGTGTCCCACGGGAGGAAGACTTTTTAATCAGGAATCCAATTTCCCCCCGGCCTCGGCGCAATATTCAATGGAGATTGCTGTTTAAAACGGCGCCAGTGCGTGTACGCCCAGGTGAAATGGAGGCGCTGTAAAGTGCAGGGACGTTTACCGCTCTAGATAAACCGAGCCGGGGATTCAATTAGTTTTTGATAGGAGATTCATGTTCTGGCTTTAGTTTTGCGTGCCCAGACGCAGTTAGCCCCGAATGAGAGAGCCGGGGGACGGTAAATGCGTACTTGACGAGTAATCGGCACTTACGCGAACACCGCACGTGGCTATCCTTCGAGAATGTCTTCGGGTGGCTAAATAAAAAGAAAAATCGCCCCGAAGAAGACCACGCCAAGGGGAATATTATTTTAGAGCACTTAGGGTTCCTAAGTTTTTAATAAAAATGTATATACTCCCAATGGTAACCTACACACACAATTCGCGAGTTTCTCTTAAAGAAATATGAAACGAGCACGTACTCCGAAAGTACGTACTTCATACCTCTACAATAAAAATTCACTGGTGGTTACTATTGACCCCAGGGTAAATTTGTATAAAAAATCCATCACACTCTGGCGGAACAATAGTACCAAGAAAGTCATTCGTGCTAGCCATTGCACTTCCTCCATATTTCTATTAAAAATCCCCAAGTTGTTGCTGGGTCTGAAAAGAAATTTTTCATTAAAAGGCCCAATTAACGACACTACCGGCTGAAAATGTTTTGTTGTCCCCCTTCGGAAGAGAATCGAGGCAGTCAATTTCACTCGGGATTTCTGGCTTATTTTGACTTGTCCAGGACAGACTCCCTGCATCGGGCAGTCTTATCTTACGTGCAAGGACACCTTAATGAAACCCAGAAAACCCCAAGGACCCCCTTCGAGTTCGATCGACGTCTTCATCGAGCTCGCCTCTTCGGGCGATGCTCCACCAGGGACGAGCACGGGATGGTAACGATAAGTCTCAATTGTGTTTCAGGAGTGGGTGAAGGTACGAGAGTCTCATCGTAAAGCCGAGAAGGAGAAGAAAATATGGGAAAGGGCGATAAGAGAGGCATCGCGCAGCGCAGCGACGGTGAGTGCATCCTCGCCATGTTGCGGCACACCGACAAGTTTTCCACCAGATCTCATGAATTTTCCACGATAAGTCCATTATTAAGCGGCCACATTTACCGGAAAAAAGCCGGAAAGTATCCTTGACCCTCGAGAAATATCAACGACGCGGAACTCTGGGAGTCCTTTATTTTTTTTATGAATTTTTCGATTCATTTTCTGCAGCATTCAAGGAAGGAGCGCCACGCCAACAAGTTTTTTGTCCCCCCATCTCATGAATTTTCCACAATGAGTCCATTACTAAGCGGCCACATTTACCGGAAAAAGCCGGAAAATATCCTGGGCCCTCGAAAAGTATCAATGACGAGCGATATGGGGAGTCCTTTATTTTCTTTCCCGATCTTCTCCATTCATTTTCTGCTCCCTGGAGCCGCAAAACCAGACTAAGGAAATGAACGGAATCGTAACGCGAATGCAAGGAGCTCGAGTTTTCATTTCCGGGGAAAATCGGATTATTGTGTATCTCGCAATGCGCCATTATTCATCGGTAACGATGGATTGCGCGTCGATACGGTGGAAATACATTTCCGGGGAACCATTCCGGCTCTCGTATTTGCCTGGAAAGTAAGGCGTCCCGTTGTAGACATTGTATTGGCCGTACCTCCAGGACGTCTGTTTGTCCCCGTGTTACATCTCGGCTGTTTGCACGGAATCGTGTTTAACCACGAATTTCTGAATTGCCGTCGTCGCGATCGGGAACCCTGGAACGTCCCTCGGTATATCCTGGCACGCCCTTAGCAAACAACCGAGTCCTGAACCGAGGATCCAAATTCGCCCTGGTGTACTGCTTCGCAACCCTTTCCTTATGCCCCACGGGTCCATTTAAATTCAATCCGCGGAAGCATCCTCGTTGATCGAAATGCGGATTCAAATACAATAGCTTCCTCCTATTCCTTCTTAAACCGCTTCCTAATTGTTCATTACGTCCCTACTGAAAAGCTGTACTCGAAAAGTGTTCTTTCTAAGTACCATTTAATTAATGTGGCAAAGAAACAATGCAATTCAGTAGCGAAGCTCTCTCTCGGGAAATTGAAACGTAGCGTTTAAATTTTTGCGACAATGCCTCGGCAACTTATAGTGATATCTAGTGATTTCTGACATTACCCTGCGAGTTCTTTCAAGGGTAGAAAGGGAAGTTTCGGGAGTTACCGATTTTTAACGCGATATGACGATTGAGGAGGTGAGAGGGTGGGGGGATTATTTAGTCCTGCAACAATGGCTTGGACATCCTCGGCAGGACATCGTCATGGATCACCTGGCAATGCCCTGGATGATTGGAACCGCGTCGTTGCTCTGCGCAGTTGGAGTCATTTGATCGATGGCGAGTCTGCTGTAATCAATCAGAATGCTCCCCAGTGATTTTCTCGTCGGCTTCCTATGCATCATCCTTGATTTACGGTGAAAGGGTGAAGCGTTGTTCCTCTCCAAGTAGACGACTTCTCCCTGAAATTGTACCAGGAGTTAATTCCCGGGTTTACGTAATTCAGAAGTGTCCGCAAAGCAGCATTTCGGAGTCCTGTATTATTATCAATTCTCGCGTATCGAGGGGAAAAATCGTTGGAGGGATTTCCGAAAATTTGCGCGGTGATAGAAAAACCAGGCTACCGGCTTTCAGGGGCCTCGACGAGCGACAATGTTTTGCGTACAGTCGGACGGACAATTGTCTTTTAGGGGAACAATGGGGAGGCATTTGACAAAAGAAGAGGCTCTCGCGGTGCAGGCGCCTCCACGTTGCACTCGGTTGCACCTAAACCTTCTAGCTTCCACCTAAACTCTCGCAATCGGCGCCCCCGATGCATGCACAGTTTCCAGGGCGATGCAGCCTCCGTGGGCCTGGACCTTTACCTAGATACACGGGAAGGAAACAATAAAAAAAGGGGCAGAAAACGTCCCAAAAGCCGGGGACCACATCGATACCCCGATGCACCCCCAACACCGCACTCGAAAATCGTCCCCCCTTGTCACACATCTCTAAAGATTTCCTAATAAGCCGCCCGATCCAATTTCCATCCCACTTAGAACCTGTAATTCTAACAATGAGCCTTACACAGCTCCTCAGTTAACAAAAAGAAGGGTTCGAAGTCCCACTTTAGACAATTAAAAGTGGCGAGTAGTTCCATATCCTAATTCCAACTTAATTCCTACAAAGTTTTTCGTGCAATATCGAAGTCAGTATCGAACAATGAAACGGGAGCAAAATGATCTCGAGGACTCGTCGCCATATCTTTCTATGTCATGTCGCACCACGTCTCTTCCGTGCGTACGTGCGGTTTAATAATTTTTTAATTATTCTCAGTTATACCTAATTATCCCTCGTTATTCCGGAACAGCGTCCAGGTAGCATTGATTAAAAGGAGGGGCTCCCACCGGTGGTGCACCCATTTACACCCCCGCGTGTAGTACCGGGGTCCAGGTGTGCGTGCAAAGTGCACATTGCACGCACCCTGCGCAGCCTCCGCTTGGTCCAGCGCCCAGATGCAAGCTCGGGAGACAATAGCTGCGAGGCTGCCGGAGGCTAAAAGACGGCGAGATGCACCGTGTGCATCCAAGTCCTGGGCCCACTTGTGACAATGCGACATTGTTAACTCGGCTTTGCTCCTCGTGTTCTGTACACCGGCCATCCCTCGACTGTTCATCTCCGCCGCGGTCTTTATCATCACTTCGGAGAGTAAACTTCTCGACGAGGTGATTACGATATCGCCGGCAAACCAGGAAAAAAATCCTAGAATGTAATTACACTACCCTGACATCCTCGTCTTAGAAAGAACCCGAGTTAAAGCAGGAATTCTTGTTTCTTCTATTCCTTAATCTCTCTTTCCGCTTGGAAACACCCTTGGACACTTTTGATATGATTGCCTCGTTGATAGATTCCTTTAGAAAAAATATCCATTAAAAAAAATGAAACATTTCTTATGAAACATTTACCTGGATTTTTTGTAATTCCAGTATTTTCATATAGTTGATTAGTTTTTGTAATGGGGTGGACGCACTTGCCCGCGGTAGATTATTATTTTTTAATGCACCCGTGGAACATAATACGAAGCTAGGCGACATTTGTCCTGTCGGCAGACACGGCTCGAGTATTCCATGCATGTCGCCGGGAATAAAACCGACGTGTGTACACATGTGGTATTTCTGCGACGTCCGGAGTATCGGAATAGCTCGAGATGAGAAGCAAGAGATGCAAGAAGGGTTCCCTCCCCGGCGAGTTCGACGCCGAGGAAAAGTAGATACAGAAAACTATGAATTCGAGATCACGACTTCGTTGGGGGAGGGGAGAGGGGGGGGGGGAGTTGTTCAATACTTGCACCCTTTCCCAAAGTTGACCCAAGTTCCTCGGAAAAGTTCCTCCCAGACCACCCCGAGACTCAAGAATCGATATCCGATATCGACGGCGATGCGTGATCGGCCATTGATCGAAGTTAGTCAAGGGTCGAAAGATGCATCGATGTCGGATTCTTTTTTCTTGTTTCCTTATTTCACGGTTTTGGGGCCAAGATACGGAAAATAGCTAGGGCGAAGGTAAAACCGCGATTGCATTCGAGACTCGCCCGCCCTCGAAGTTTGCGACTCGAGACTCGAATTGATTTTTCAGAACTCTCGCGCATGCTTGGGCTCGACCGGAGAAAAAGGATTCCTCGGAATCGAAGCCGAGATGATTTACGCGGAGACGTGCCATCGCCGAGGATGGCTCGTTAAACCCTTTTGCGAGGGTACAAGGAAGCGTATATAAGAGTACAAGGGGGATGGGGATGGGCATGGAACCCCTGAGATCGACATATCCGTGTCCAGGAAGATGAACAAGGGGATGTAGAAGAAAATGTTTCATTGGTGTCTGATGAAAATCCCGGAAAAAGACACGGTAAAGTCTTATCAATTGTCCCGCCGAAGGATAGATAACGTCCCGGGAATTTTCCGACTTTCGCAATAATCAGGAAGATCGACAGAACGATGTCTAGGAAGAGGTTTGAAATGCGTCTGATAAAAATTCGGGAAAAAATACGGAACTCTTATCAGTGGTCCCGCCAATGGATCGATAACCCCGCGAGATCGTTCCCATCCCTTCCCCCCTGAGGGTCGTCTTCGTCCGAAATCGTCGACCCGAGAATTTTCCAACTTTCCCAATAATCGAGAGCGCTCGCTCAAAGTTCCTCGCCTCTTCCTTCTCTCCTCGGTCTCTCCTTTTCGTTTCTGTTTCCGCCCCTTCTCCGCCGGTTCTCTTCCAATCTATTCCTCTCTCGCGTCCTTGATTTCCTTCCACTTTCCTTTCTCCTCTTTCCCGGCTTTTCTTTTCCACGTTTCGATCGGCGTCTCGCGCCTCCGCCTCTTCTTCGTTTTTCGCTGCCCCGTTTAGCGGCTTCCTGCACTCCCCCAACTTCCTCGCTGCTCGTAACGAGGCCATTCAGCTCTAAGAGCTTACAAACGTTTTCCGCCCAATCACCGCTATTGTGTATTCCACCGACGAGTCGAAATGCCTTCCGTCGCCTCTTCGGCTTTTGGTCACTTCCGACCATCCGTGGTCAGGCGAAATAACTCCGAACGGAGTGCGAAGAGCCGCAAACGAGGAAGAGCCCGATTTGCATCCGAGATGTCCACTTTGAAAAAGAAATCCCCCTATCTAAAGCCTCTTCAATTTTGCATCTGACACGTCCACTATAAGATAACATACATCTATTTATTATCCCTCTAATTTTTCATCGAAATCCTCACTGTTAAAAAAAAATATATATATAACCTTGGAATTCCCTTACAAATTACAGGAAAAAATTGTTAGATCTAGACCAGGCTGATTAAACGTGGGAGAAAAATTTTCAGCAAAACTGCCAAGGCATCTCGCAACCTCCAGAAATTATTGTCTCACCTTTTCCTCGGTTTACCCTGCAGAGACTCCGCGATATATCGACGTCCGATCGAGAAAAGGATTTAAGAATACAGTCCCCTTCATTTTTATACATTTTCCGAGCCAACCCTGTAGTATTGAATCTTGGCGGAACCTGGCATCAAGCTTGGCAATTTAAACATGACAGAAAAATTGTTTTAAGACTCCCAAGGCATCTCGCATAAGCAGAGACTCTTGTCTTACCTCTTCCTTGTTCTACCCTGAAGAGACCCCGCGATATACCGAGCTACGTCAATTATATCACGGACACGCTTTGTCGTCCCCACGAGAGAGCCAGTCACGCAGAGATTACTTCGAGAAATATTGCATTTTATAAAACGACTTCCCCCCCGCGGCCAATCGAGCATCCGCCACGCAATATGAATCAGAAAATTAATTTCCTCCTCGACCGCGGCATCCTCGCAATTTGTCCAAGCGTCGCCATTATCCTCTTTCTTTCCGCAATTTTACAATTCCACGGTGAAACCATTCCCCGGTCCCTGAAAAAAGACCCGTCCTCAAGCTGCAATGAATATGTTTTGATAGAAAAAAGTATATACCCTACAATTCCCTCTTTGCTCTCGAAATCGCCGCGAGGTTTATTCCCTGATCGCTCAACTTCCACTTCATGTTGAATTCATTTCCGAGGAGTTGTCGGGGACGTTCCTGAAGAGCGATCCCTCTCTTCGACGCTGGGCGTCGGGACGTCCCGAACAGCTTCGGAAAGTTTTCCTTGGCTGGGTGGATGAGAGAAGCTGAAAGAAAAGGCGCAGAAATTGAGAAAGAAAACCAGGACGAGGATAATGCAACAATAACATGCACCGGGAAAAAGAGAAAAAAAAAAATAACCTAACTGTCCGAGAGAAATATTTTATTAATTCAAAGTATAATTATTTCACTCAAGCGAACGGGAATAAATTTACTCGAGTTTCATCGTGAATTTACCACACATTTCCTCGGTTCTATGAATTTCTTTCCCTCAGTCTGCGTGCCGTCTTAATGATAACTTCCCAGGTAATCGCATTCAGCCTTACCGAGGAGGCAAAATTCTAAATTGCGAATCTCGCCATTTCTCATTCGCTCGGGGGCTTCTCCAGATTTATTCGACAGCTGATCGCTCGACTTCCACATCTCTTGTCGAATTAATTCCGACTGAGTAGTCGGGGACGATTCTTGAAGAGCGATCCCTCTCTTCGGGCGTCTGGGCGTCGCTGGGAGGTTTGAAAAGTTTTCCTTGGCCGAGTCCATGAGAGGGGTTGAAAGGAAAGGAGCAGAAATAGGGAAACAAGTCCGGAGTGAGGGAAACGCAACGTTAACATACGTACCGTCTCAAAGGCGCCGTCAGGAAGCGGAGCCGACTAACACCGAGTGCGACAGACGTTTCTCCCGAGGGCCGTAACGATAGAGGGAGAGGCACCCCTCGCTTCCGTTTCTTTGGCTTGCTCTTTCCCGTTTATCCGGCTCTCTCTCTCCATATCTCGGTGTTTTCCCTGGAAACCCCGGAACATCCGGAACCGGAGTTTCCAGGGTAGAGGCGGAGCGTGAACGAGAATTCCAACGAGGGTGTTTACGCGGCTAGACGCGTTACGTGTATTTGTCTCGTTACGGAGGGGTGTACACATAAATATACATATCTACTATATTACAGTGTTCACGCCGCGGTGTTCGAGGTACGCCCCGGGTATTTAGGAGTACGTATGCTCGTGTATATATATATATATTACAAGTGAGAAAGCTGCCAACGACTACGCGACTACGCTCTTATTAGACGTGCCGAACATGAAGAGCACTCGCGACAGGGGTAGGTCAGATCCCGAGGTCCCAGAAGTCGCCTCTTCCTTGGACACCTGCGATTCTGGACCACCTTCGGGTACCTCCGCATCTCTTCCGGACCGACGTTGCGTTTTCCACGTTTTCCTTTCTTCCTCTTCCTCCTCCCCGGACAGTACTTCCTCCTCTTATCGACACCATTCCCAGGCAGAACTTCTCCGACCAGGAAGTTAGATCCTACGACAAGGCGTCTACGTCGCGTCGTAAGATTACGCGCGGTTACGCATCTACGCGTTAGTGCGTGGGTTATCAGGTTATCAGAGGGAACGAACGCGCCGATAAGGTCCAGCCTGCCCGTGTTAAGATTTCGGAGCGAGCCTCCTCTTATCGGTCCATTGGCGGCGATAAGGTATCGTTCGCCATCGGCCTGGGGTCCATCGATCGGCCGATCGATCGGCTCCTGATCGATCATCCTTGTTATCAGTGCCTCGGATCGTTGTTGCTCGCCGTCGCGTAGAATCCTCTGATCTCCGACTGAGCCGACTGGGCGAGCGAACGGCGACACGGATTCGGGTCCCAGTTGACACCTGGACATCCCAACGACTCGAAGCAGGCTGTCATGCGACTGTTGTATGGACAACATTGGACCACTGCCCAGACACAGGGGGCAGGACTCCTGACGGGGGGTCTCACGGTGGCGGGCGCTGGGAACCTAGCCGCCTGCGGACCCTCCCGCTCGGGGCTGAATCCCTGGAACGATATCAAAATTAGTGGCTCCCCTATCAACTGCCTAACTACGCGAAACACTTCCTTTCAGTCCCTTCCCTCATCTCGGATTCGATATAAAAATTAATCTCAAGGATTTGTCAAAAAGCTAAAGCGGTAATGCGACCTCAATTTTGGCGTCGTTTCCCCCTGTATTGCCTTAAACTTACCGAAAAACACTTTTGGTTTGTTTTTTTTTTTTTCGGCTGCTTGGAATTGTTACAAAAATTCACATTGGATATTTTTCAGGATTTTTTACCAACGAGGATATCAAAATCGGGGATTTCGTCCTGCGAGCGAAACAGTTGAACATTTTACGCTCCTTTTTTTAGGGTTCGGATTTGTTGGGAGAATTCGACGTGAGTATTTTTCAGGACTTCGGAGCGATAAGCGGGCGGAGAGCTCACCGGGAAACCGATCTCGTTGTCGCCGCCACTCCTGGACAGGATCGTCGGGACCGGGGATACGACGGAATCCCCCGAACGAACTATTATCCTCGCGCTCACAGGGAGCGAGTTGAGCCTCGTTTCTTCCCACTTCCTCCTCTGCTCGGACAGATTCGTCCTTTCCTCCTCCCTCTGCTTCTGCTCCTTCAACCTGTCCCAAATAAAGTGACATCAAGTTACGAGCGATCCTGCCAGTTGTTCCCGCTCGTCGAACCCTACCCCTGACCCTTTACCAAACCTGGCGCCCAGTTTCCTTCCTTTCCCAGGGTACAAGTTTTCTTAAGGACGTCTTATCCGAGAGGTCCTTAAGGAACCTCGTTATCAGGATCGGCGTCGTTTTGCTCACCTCCTTTCGTCGATGCGTTCCCGTTGACGTCTACGCTCCTGTTCTTCTCGACGACGCTGATCCCAAAGGTTGGCTGCCTCCAGGACTTGCTTCCTTCGTCCTTCGTCCTCGATTCTGCGTCGGTCCTCCCGACCTTGCACGGTCCAGGTCCTGCCGGCCTGCAGCCTCCTCCTCTGCTCCTCTATCTGCTCCTTCCTCCTCCTCTCGTCCTCTCTGCGCGCAGCTTCCTGTCGCTTCCGGTCCTCCTCGTATCTCCTGGACTCTTCTCTCCTTCGCTCGTCCTCTCTTCGCGCAGCTTCTCGTTTCATGTAGTCCTCTTCCTGTTTCCGTCGTTCCTCCTGCAGCTTGGTAGCCTCCTGCCTCCTGCGAGCCTCTTCTACCGATCCTGTCGGCGCAGGACCTGCACCTGGTGATGGTCCCCGAGATCTTCCTCCTATCTCCACCATCGGATTTCTCATCCTGTCGTACCTGAGAAATACAAAGGTCGACGTTCAAAGTCTTTATCAATCTTGGTATCTCGATTCTATCTGTACGTGAGTCGCCGCAGGATCAGCTTCAAGGATAACACCGAGTCCATGTTGGGGCTAGCCGCTCGTCGAGAGCTTGGACCCAATGTTGCTTTTGCCAAACGCGAGTACTAAACTACCGAGTTGACTTTGTTAATCGGATTAAGCGATCGGTAGAAACGAAGAATCCTGGACTGGAAATACTTGCAAACGTGGCTTAGGATCGACGCAAACATGTCGATACCGCGTACTGATGCGGCTATCGTCTTCTAAATTTTGTATTGGAATATTCATACATTCCCGTTTTTTAATATTAAAATTCTGAAATCTCAAATATTGTACCTTGAAGAAACTTCGAGTACGCGTATTGCCATGTTTCGAAGGGAGGCTTTTAATAGTCGGAACAGTGGTCGATTCCTGGTTTTCGGAAAAGGGCGATCAGCTATTACATCGAGATACGTCTAATCGTACCTTCTTGCGGCCTCGAAGATCCTCCTTCTTTCCTCCTCCTCTCGTCTATCCGGTTCCCTCCGAGGAGCCACCGTAACGGGCTGGTTTCGTCTTACATAGTCCTGCAGCTTCCTCTCCTCGGCCTGCCTTCTCTCCTCTTCCCATCTCTTCCTGTACTCCTCTTCTCTCCTCCTGTGCTCCTCTTCCCTTCTTCTCTCCTCTTCCGCCCTCGTGGCGTTCGCCCTCCATTCGGGGAGCTTCCTCTCGCCTGTCCTCCCCCTTCGGGCTTCCTCCAACCTCGGGTTTACCTATAGACACCGGATTCATGAAAAGCTGCTCCCATGAATCGTTTTATGGAAATTGAAAAAAGGAAGGGGAACTCCTCCCGTGAGTATTGGAAAGTTGACCAATTTCATGAATGACGAAAAAGATGACGTTACTCTAAGGCCAAGCTTCAAGTTAGACAATTAATAATCTAGGCAATAACTTTCTAGACAACCCGATATGTCAATTGACCCAGCTCGAACGATTTGCCAACTAGTAGATGGAATCTTATGCCTACGTGCTCGAATTTACCTCGATCGGTCGATTCCTTCGAAGGTATTCCCTAAGCTTTTCCTCCCTCTCCCTCCTCTCTGCCTCCTCCTCTTGCGTGTGTCTCGTGTCATCCGATCCTCTCTGAGATTCCTGACGGATCAAGTTAACCGGCTGATTATTCCTCCTTTGATCCTCCAGCCTCCTCCTCTCCTCTTCCTCCCGCCATCTCGTCAACCACTGCCGCCTCCTCTCGTTCTCCACCCTTTGATTCTCCTCCTGCTTCTTGCGCCCCTCCTCTTCACTCCTCCTCCTTTCCTCCGCCCTGAGCCTCTCCTCGTGGATCCTTCGCTTGTTCTCCCTGTCCTGGTCATCCGGCCTCCTGGCCTCCTCCAGCCTCCTCTGGTGTTCCCGTCTCCTCCACTCCATCTCCTGTTCGGATCTCGACGGGCCACCCTCGGTGGTTCCTCCTCTTCCTCGTCCCCTCCTTATCTCCTCCTCCCGTCTCCTCTCTTCCTCCTCCCTCTGCCTCCGCCGTTCCTCGGATTGCAGCTCGTCGCTGGACACCAGACCCTCGTTCTCCCCAAATCCCCAGATATCGCGCTTCTCTCTCTCCCCCTCGTTCGTCCTCTTCAAGGACTCGTCCTCCTCCTCCTCCTCCCACCCCCAGCCGAAGAGCCTGCGTCCGAAATTCGAGCTCGACTTCAGAAAATGGTCCATCCACCATTTATCCGCCAGTTCCTCGGCCTCGTCACTCGAGTCCTCGTCTTCCACGCCCTGAGGAAACTCGTTCGATGTCGAAGAGTCCGTTTCGGTCGTGGCGTCGACCTCGATCTCTACCTTGTCGGTCTCTGGAGATCGTCGCGACCTCGGGGAAGAGTCTCCTAGGTCTCCTCGAACCGGAAGCTTCTGGGTCTTCAGGATGTTCTCCAGGTCCACTGGCAACTTCAGGGGCGCTTCTATGTCTCCTCGGTTCTTCAGATGGGCCGGCTTCGGCGTCGTGGTCGCCATTTTTCGCAGCTTCAGCAGCTCGTCCTTCTCCTCGTCGCTCTCTCCCTCTTCGTAGTCCAGGTCGATCGTCAGAGGGGTCACGTGCAAGGAGGGGTCGAAGTCGTCGAGATCACTTTTGGGGTCCAGCGATCTCTTCGACCTGTGCGACGCTTCCAACCCTTCGCAACCAACCTGCAATTCTGGCACCCCTCCCACCCCGAAGACCTCCTTCTTAAGCTTCTCGGAGGGTTGGTCCTCGTCCAAGGACTCTCGAGGGACCTTCGGGTCGGACACCTTCGACTCGATGGCTTTCGGCTTCCAGGATATCCTGTTGGCCATGGATGCCTTCTTCGGGACCTTGCTCTTCATCCGGGGGAGGTTCTTTATTCCACCTGCTGACCCTAGCAAGGATTTTTCCCTGTGCAGATCCAGCTTGTAGACTTCCACGGATCCTGGACCTTGGTCCTGGAAATTGTCGTCCGCCACGAAGGACTCGTCCTCCGAGGCGGTCGCCTCCCCATTTTCCACGCTCTTCAGGGTCCTCGAACCCTCGTCCACCCTCTCCTCGGACACCGTCCAGTCGCCTGGAGACTCTGGAAAAGTTTTATCATTTGAACAGCCTCTTACGATTCATTGATCCTTCGCAAGAATATACAGAAATCATCCCTCCTCCCTTATAAGTTCGATCAGCTGACTCGAGTCTGGGGACCCTGTCGAAACTGTTCACAAAATTCGGAAACAATTCTAGTGACTTGAAAAATGTCATATTCCAAAATTAAACCAATATACGTTTACCGTGAGATCCTAAATTAATTTAATTCCGTATAATCGTAAGATGATTATGGATTATCTAAATAAAGCGGTAGAAAATTGTAATCGCTTTTTTTGGGGTTGGATGCGATGGATTACCATCCTCGGCTGTCTTGGGGACCTCGATGGGCCTTTCCGACCTGTCGCCGAGGAACTTTTGGCCCTTCTGCCAATTTTCGAGTGCCTCCTGATCCTGATGCACGGGATGCTGCGGGGGCAGCGGGGAGTATTGATCGTCGAAAGGGTTGCTCGGGAGGGTGGTTGCTCCCACCACGGCCGTTAGCCAGACCGTGGCCATAACCAGCTTAACCCCCGGCTGCATCCTCCTGCAATCAAACGGATGTGCGCCATTATTTTTTGATCGGCTCGAATGAGTTTCCAACACCTCCACCTCCCGCCCCAGTCGTGGTCGCGACGTGTCCGGTTATCAGGATCACCCTTGTGCAGGTGATAGCCCCCTCCTCGGGGTGTCGAAAACTTCACGTCCCAGATACTCAGCCCGCTTACGGCGAATTCAGACTAGGTAGAGTCTCGCGCCAAATGCGTACATTTATAACGAGGCCCCGTGTCCAGTTATTAAGTTCACTCAAAGGGGAATTCACTGCAGAGAAAATCATGGAACAATCCAGGGCATACGTGCTAACCCAACCGGGTGTATGATCGAATTACACATGGCAACAGCAAAGAACATCATTTCCACGGGTTTCGGCTCCTCAGCTTGCAGTCGTCGACCTAAATCGGGAATTCTCTGGGAACCCGATCGAAATCGTTTGCCGGGGATTCGCGCACGAGCGAGATCGGCGCTTTGATCTCGCCGCTCGCGTTCGACCGCGAGAAGAACGTTATCGAGCCCGGGTGAGCCCAGAAGGGAATCGTTAACGATGTCGAGATCTATGTCGAGCTTTTTGCCCGAGAAGGGACCGAAAATAACCGTCCCAAGATAGGAGCTATAAATTTCTTCTTCGGGGTATTCTTAGCGCCCGCCAAACGCGCATACAACAATCGGCAGGTTTTGGCACGGAGTCATTGTAGCTCATCTCGCGAGGACATGACCGAAGGTCTACAGAGATCATTTCTATATTAATCCGAAGACACAATAAGAAGAAAAAAGGGATTACCACTTATAACAATAACAGCTATTATACAAATATTTTTTTATTATGGAATTAATAAACAATTGCATTCTCTTCGGGTCGTCATGTTTCGTCGTAATAGGTCCTGACAAATTGTTCGAAACCTTCATTTCTATATGCGCCCGGTTAAAAAGTAAAATATTAGAGGAAACAATTTATGACAGTGCTTAACCGCGTATGAGGCGATTAGTTGATGTTAATGAATTAATAAAAATCATCTCTTGGCTCGAGTCATCCTGTCTCGATGTGCGTATTAGTCGGCGATAAGGGGAAGCAATTTCGTTCGGTAATCGAGCAAGGAAATTCCCGGCATCCAGAGATGGAAATCGATCTCAGGACTTCGACGCAATCGTTTACACGGTTATTCCCACTTGGATAATTCCACATGCAAAGCGTTTAATCCCTCAACTTGCCCCCCTCCTTCGGGCCAAGGCACGTGAGCATTACCGTGCCAAGACGATCTATAGATCACGACTCGTATGAATTCGAGGATCCCCTGGGACCATTATAGACACGCCGTAATGAATGAAAATTAACGACGGAGCACGAAGATCGTTTGGGAAAAAATCGAGAGCGTAATCGATGAGCAATAACGAAGAGCGATAAGACAATAGGTACAGACAGCGACATGTCGCGAGTGATAACGGCAAAATTATGTATTACTCTGCGTTTACTTGATACGCTTATCACTGGTTGAGTCTACCGTGACTTTTTGTACATATCGCTTACGATTACGAGGCATTGAATCACATCTCGGATTGATAAACACCATCGTACGTGATCGTAATTACTCGGCGGGTGTATGTCAGAGAGTGAGAAGAATTGTTATCGTTACCATTCGTTATCACTTAGGGACTTTTTCAGATCTTTCTGTGTCCGTTCACGGACCTTCTCGATTACACTGAGCTTGGATTGATCGGATTCGATTTTGAGATATTCGAGTATTGGAGTTTCGAGGGGTTTTTCGTGATAAGCCGGTTCGGCCCACGTGGGCGTTATCAACGGTTATCAAGGAGATTTCTACCCTGGCAGGACCGTTGATCAGGAATTCTGTCAATGCGTCTTGTCACCCATCGATCATTGACACTCGAGCCGCACTGATCGAGAGTGATCTTGACACACTGTTCGAGTTAATCGCCGAATGCAGCGACTGATAACGCGTTGCAATCAGATCGCTCCACCCTCCCCGTGTATTCTACCGGTTCCCACCGACGGAAACTTCTCGGATTAAAATAAAACCCAATCAAACCAATAGGGACGATCTCGATGCGCATCGATCGGAAACGATTCCAACACCCTGTCCAAGTTGCGTACTCATGCTGAACGCATCGATAACGTGTCATGATAAGACGTCCAAGTGGCTCATATACCCGACCAGTTCCCATGATTACTCCCAAGTTAAAAAGAAAAATCGATAAACTAATGATCGATCTTTAAACCTGATTATTAGGAGCGACTCGATCACGAGAGCGATTCCGCCGTTCGATTCGAATTACACGCGACGACCGATAACGCTCTGTAATCAATTCCCAACGCCCTGGATACCCAACTCCTGGATGTCCCGGGTGTCCTGGGTGTCCTGGATGTCCCACCGATTCCCATTGACGGAACCTTATCAGATAAAAATGAAATTCGATCCGGCCGATATAGGCGACATTAGAGTCCGCGTCAGAGACGTTCACTGTTCGCTTCTCACCGTGTTACGCCGATCCGGTCCACGTGTGTGTTATCAGTACGACTGAGGATCTCCTGTCAGTATAACTGTCAATGCGACCTGTCATCCGTCGATAGCACGGCCGTGTGACCGATCGGGAGCGAACTTGACACACTGTCCGACTCACGCGGCCGAGAGCACTCGCACGAAATGCCGCGGCTGCATCGAGGCGATGCAGTCGAGATGCACTCGCAGCATCCGTCTGACCCCTGTCCGCCAACCGTCTCTCTCGATCGCTTTCATCTCCCTCTCTCCCCCACTTCTTGGCGAGTCCCGCACTCTTTGACCGCGAATTTACCAGCCGACCAAGGTTAAACGTCGACGGCCGAGGTCGGCTCTCGGATGGTGACCGAGCCCCCCTCCAAAAATTTCCCATTTCCCTTCCCAAACGTTGGAACCATGACCTACTCCACCGTGACACCCAATCGAGGCCATAAAGATCACTACAGATACTAGATATACAATAATAATAATAAAAATACGGGGTCGTATTCGGAACAGCTGACGGAGTCTTCCGAATTTTCCGATTTCCACTTCCATCCCCATAAGAGATAGATTAAAAATTGCATAAAAAAGAAAAACAAATTGGAAAAAATCCTCTTCTCTCCACCTGTCACTTTTCTACACCCCTAGGTGTCGGCCCCTTTGAAATCCCCCTTCGAGTTTCCCTCAGGCTCGATTAATTGACACGGCGATTACGAAACGCCGTGCTCAAGGAGGGAAGTAGCCCGACTCGCGAAACCCGCGGATAATTAATCGTTAATTGCCGTCAATTCCGCCTTCCACCCCCCTCTCAAAGGCGAGGGGAAAAGGGGGGGAAATGCCCCCGGTTTTCCTCCCGTGACGTCGCCTCCGTCCGGCCTAGGTCGGGAGATTAAACTGCGCGGGGACATTTTAATTAAGCCGCGGCCACGAGGTACGTTTTTCCGATGATGCACCGCCCGCCGAGCGTAATAAAAGGGGGAGGCGAGGGGGAATAGAAAAATAGGGAAAAGGGCAAAAAAGGACATCCAACGATTCGCGCCCTGTGCCCTCTTCCGGGGGCTCTTTAACCCCCGCGATTTGGACCCTTCCTCTGACTTATTTTCACGCAATTTTCCCCCTCGTTACCCCCGCTTCCCTCACCCGTGATAACGCCTCGATTGCCTCTGGGGGGAGACTAGGGAATCGACCGATCCCTCGGGTCCCTAGATACGGGGCTTCCTCTGGGTTCACTGATAACCGACATCCATATGTAGGCGTAGTTTTGAACCTCTGAATTTCTTGATTTTCAGCATAGTGATATGATATGGAATTCAGGAAAATTGTCATGTCTTTCGTGTTAAAATTTAAGATTTTTGCGGATTTCCTACTTATACATTCTCGAGCCAGCTTTAAAGTGCACGGTTCAGAAAGGGATTTCTCATTTACGAAGAAGCGATGATAACTCAGTTTTTCCGAGACCGTCAGATAAGACGTAAAGGATATCGAATTGTTTTGTTTTCGGTTCGTGGTTGTTTTTCTTTCTCTGTGGGTTTTAATAACTAACGCCAAAAATTAACGCCAAGGCAAATGTAAGTAGTAACTAATTATAAAAAAAAAAAAAAGGATTTCGCAATCCGAATCGGGCCAATCTCGTAACGTGTGAAGTTACATGCAATAACTTGCCATTAGATGTTTCACATCAAAGATATATAACGAACGATCCAGTTGTGAAATGCATTTCCTTTGAAGAGCGAAATTGGACGGCCGGAGCTTCTCTTCAATTAGAAACAAGTCATGAGCGAGAAGTGGATTGACTCCTATACGTAATACCAAGTCAATTGTTTTCTTTTCTTTTTATTATCTACAACGGATCTAGATTTCTTGTCACGAATCTATTGTCGCCACAGAAGTCAAGACTGACAAGTGGAGTTAACGTTGAGAAATTAAATGCACGCATGGTATACAAGGATGGCCTCGTGGTGGCTGATAGCGCAAAAGGCCTCTTATCAATCGCGCTTATTTCCGGGTGATTATCTCTATCATTATCAGTTGTGATCTCTCCGTAAATGAATGTACGAGGCCGAAGGGAAAATGAAATCCGTCGCTCCAGTAGGCTCCAACAATGGTATTTCAAATTTTTTAGCCTCATTTTGATTACGACCGAGCCACGGCTTATCGATAACGCAATCGGCACCTGCACAAAGGTGTTTGCGTGGACGCGTTTCCATTTGTTTATTCAACTCGAAACGCAGCTGGATAAAGAAGGCGCCTTCTCGCGGGGTCCCGATTTTACATTTTTTTCATTATATTCTTTTCTTATCAATCCAGGAAACGGGACGAAGTGATCTAATTAACGGTTCATCTCGTTCCATTAAAAACCGGAGAAGTGATAACGCAGCATGAACTCCTTCCCTTGACTTCATTTGCATCCCAGCGAAGGGGATGAAAGCAGAATCCGATTATCCGCGGGAAATGTCATTTCCGGTAAACGACATTATTTTATCATTATTTTTAA